AACCAGCCACCTTCTTGCTGTGAAGTGACAGTTCTAACCACTGCTAAGCACTTTCCATCAGTATTTCGTAGAAGCTGACAAAAGGAAACAGAATTCTGCATATTTAATCATTTTTCCTGTCGTGATCTTGCATAGCTTCTAAACACATTCAGCCACATGACCTACAGTTCACTTCCTGTTTCTCTCAAGCACTTCCTGTGCACTTGTTGATGAGTCAGAGAGCAGTTTCAGTGACCTTTGCTGCAGTGGGTGGCTGTGTGTGTGTGGGGTGTGGTGTGTGATTTACTGTGCCAAAATGCATGCCTACTTTGGCCCGAGATGTCACTTGCGTGGTTTCTTTATGTCAGAACACTTACAAACACATGAGCAAAATGCACCGCCTTCAAATGTTAACAATGCTTTGTGAATTTACTGTGATTTCCAGATCGCTCTTGGATAATAGAAGGAATAAATAGACATTTCCTCTTGGCCTTCTGGTTGCACACAAACATGCTGGTAAGCACGGCTCCACAGGCACGCGGCGGACATACACACATGCATACTGATGCACACATCCGTTCATACTAACAAAACAACACATAAAGCAGTCGACGCTGAAGCCACTGTAAGCTGTGGTTTACGCACATCTCTAGTTCACACACACTTGTTTTGATTTCCTAGTGCAGTGTTTTTTTTTTTTGAAGAGCGTGTTTTTTTCTGTGCTTCATGTTAACTTTATTGTTACACAAAACAAGTGAACAGTACAGAATGTTACATTATATCATATTTCAGAATGTATTGTGAACCCCAACCCCAACCCCAACATTTATTAAACGGACATACATTCACCGGCCACTTTATTAGGTACACCTGTCCAGCTGCTTGTTAATGCAAACTTCTAATCAGCCAATCACATGGCAGCAACTCAATACATTTAGGCATGTAGACATGGTCAAGATGATCTGCTGCAGTTCAAAGCGAGCATCAGAATGGGGAAGAAAGGTGATTTAACTGACTTAGACCGTAGCATGGTTGTTGGTGCCAGACGGACTGGTCTGAGTATTTCAAAAACTGATGATCTACTGGGATTTTCACGCACAACCATCAGAAAATATCCAGTGAGCGGCAGTTCTGTGGACGCAAATGCCTTGTTGATGCCAGAGGTTAGAGGAGAATGGCCACACTGGTTCCAGCTGATAGAAAGGCAACAGTAGCTCAAATAACCACTCGTTACAACCGAGGTCTGCAGAAGAGCCTCTCTGAATGCACAACACGTTGAACCTTGTGGCAGATGGGCTACAGCAGCAGATCACACAGGGTGCCATTCCTGTCAGCTAAGAACAGGAAACTGAGGCTACAATTCACACAGGCTCACCAAAATTGGACAATAGAAGATTGGAAAAACGTAGCCTGGTCTGACATGACCAAAGGATCCCCTATTTCAAGTTGATCTTTTTTTAAATTCTCTAACACAGCCTAAAATTGTACAGTGGCCATAAAAAATTAGCTATAGAGCAGCATTGGCATATAATTGACTTACCCAATGGCCTTTCAAGGGCTAAATTAGAGACTAGGCTGAAGGAATATGAATGAATGAATGAATGAATGAATGAATGAATGAATGAATGAATGAATGAATGAATGAATGGCCCGTGGTAATTCTGTCGACACTTTGAATCAGAAAAACATACAGGCAAACCCAAATTAATTATTTACCTCTTGATGATACAGTAAGATCTTGTAAAAGTGAAAATAATCAGTGTACAAGAAATTCGGCATTACTTACTTAAGGTACTTCTTTCAATCCACAGTCTCCAAAACGTTCACAGGAGTTTATTTAATTCTGTCTGTTTTTATTTATTAGTTTTGACTCTCAGAGTATCAGTTGACTTGTGTTTTGTGACTTTCCAAATAAAGCTGGTTAAGTCATCTGGTGAAAATTTATATTGCAATATATAAGTGCAGAGGAAAAATATCTCAATGTCAATTTTTTCCATTATGGTTCATGCCTACCCTAATAGTGGTTGCATTTAGGGTTTTTGGGGCATATCCTCATTTAAGAATCATGCGTTTTTATGTGAAATAAGTATTATGAATTTGTAAACATTAGTCACTTTCTTGCCAATTTATAAAAAAAAAAATTCCTTCTGAGATCAGGCTGGTATTTTCACAGCAAAACGCGAGAATCGAGAATGTCCTATGTTTTGAGAAAAGTAGTCATTTCAGGCTTTAAATATGTTTTTGAAAAATATCCCTGCAAAATCCTTAAGGGTCTGGTTTACATGTCACTAGATGGCTTCTGGGCAGTTCTTGGTTAATGAAAATTATGAAGGAGTCCAGACCTTCTGCTGTCAATCTGAACATCTGGCTGTATGAGACTGGATGAAAGATATAGAAGAGCATTAAAACGTTGTTAAGATTAACTTTGGAAATTCAAAAAAGGAGGTGGTGGAAGATGAAGTCAATCTTAACCAAATCATGGCAAGGGGAATAAGGGCCAACAATTTTGCAGTTAATGTAGGCCTCTTCACACTGACCCATACTTCATCTCATGTTTCACTTATATTGGCTAGTCGTTAAGCATATGCTTTTTACATCAGGCACACTGTGAGACAGTCATCCTAAATTTTTAATACTGTCAGATATTGTTCAAAGGCTCAAAAGTGAGCCTTCGTGTTTGAACACTTTTAGGAGACACGACCAATGAAATTGCTATTGTTACATGTGTTTTTCCCTAGTAATGCCTGAAATTGTACAGTGTACTGGTCATTTAAAAAATCAACTATAGGGTTGACATGGAAATTAGGCCTATGGATTTCTCAGAAATTATATTTTGCCCCATGAAATACTTACCCAGTAGCCTTTCAGGATAGTTTATACTTTTTTTTTTTAATTCGAGGAACATTAAATAAGATTTAAAACTGAAATCATGATTGTTGGTAGTTCTGTCAAAACTTTGAGTCAGAAAAATGTACAGGCAAACCCGAATTAATTCTGCTCTTGACATACATTGAGATCTTGTGAAATTGAAATAATCAGTCTGTACAAGCAACTGGACTTTACTTAATTAGGTATTTCCTTTAATTCACAGTCTCTGAAAATAGTCCCGAGAACATTCAAGTTTTGTCTGTTTTAATCAATTAATTAATTAATTAATTAATTAATTAATTTTGACTCTGAAGGTGTCAGTATTACTGTTCATTCATTTTTCTTCGACTTAGTCCCTTTATTTATCAGGGGTCGCCACAGAGAAGGAACTGCCAACTTATCCACTATTTGTTTTACGGAGCGGATGCCACTGAAGAAAAAAGTCCACTTGGATCGCCAATTGGGGGTGAACTGCCTCTTTAAATGGTTTGGGGAAACACTTTTAAGTGTCTAATTCTATTAGAGGTAATGTTGTGTTATGTATATATCTATATAGGATCAAACCATGATGGAGTGAAGCTTGCACAATGATTAACACCATGAGTTCCAATCTATTCCAGTATGTGTGCAGCTTACATCAGCAGTCAATAAATAAACCAACTGGACACGTTTTGCCTGAAACATGAATTACTTGTGGAAGTAACTTAAGCAGCTTTGTGCATATATGGCAGAATCAGACCAGTGCATAGTCAGCATTCTTGTTTGTGATTTTGCTGATTTGTTTTATTGAGAGGTCTTCACTGCAAAATATGTGTATATTGCACATTTAATAGAAAATTATTTGGGTTAAAGTCCGCGTGAACCAGATGTTGCTGAGACTTTATTTCAGTGTGTTGATTTACTTTCAACTGAAACTGCATATTAAGTAGGAGGTGTGGTTTTCTTTTTGCACATCATTATCTGACATAAGAAGGGCTTGGTTAAGCAGATAAGTATTATGGCAGAAGTCAAAGGACCTCCACTCCAAATGCAGATGCAAATCATGAGACATTGATTGAAGATTACCAAAACAAACTCTTTTTGTTTCAGTGAATTAACTTATACAGGTTAAATGTTCATTTAAAGAAAAACAATGTGAGCAAAATAAGATAAGCGGTCACAAACAACATCCAGGACAGATTCTATTTGACTCCTTTATAGAAAAAAAACAGCAATTTAAAGATAATACAGATCCCCTTCACTCAGCTTTTGAAATGCTACCATCAAGACACAAGTTTAGAACTCCTAAAGCCCGAAGAAATGCTAATAAAAAGTCATTTATCCCAATTGCAGTTCTTGTTTTAAGTTGGATCACTGTTTGAAGTGAATGGGGTGGTTGTCAAGAATGATCTGCAGTAATATGGGGCTAATTTGGTTTTCACATGTTTAACTTATGTTGTTGTCTTGATGAGTGTTTTTATTGTGTGATTGTTGTATGTATGCTATTGTTGTCTTAAATCCAGTGTTAAAGACAAATTTCCTTTTCGTGCTAAGCAGAAAAGACAAAGTTTAAACTAAACTAAATAATTTAAACTTTTCTGTAAACTAAACAGTAAATCTTTGATTGGACACCCTTTAAAAGGATAGTTCACAAAAAAAAAAAAATATTCAAAACCGGTTTGAGTTTCATTTTAGTGTTAATCACAAAGGAAGATAATACTGAAGAATGTTGGGAACAAAGCAGCCATTGACATCCATATGTTTTGTTCCTGGATGTAAATGGCTGCTTTTCCACTACATTCTTCAGAATATATTGTTTTGTGTTCAGAAATTCTGAAGATCATATTTGGTTGAATTACCTCTTTATATCATTTTAAACTAACAACATATGTAACACATACATATATTTAATAAAAGAGCCAGTGCATTTTAATGTAAATACAAATTACATTTGTACGCATTCCTAAAGAAAAGGATTAATCTTTGAAAGTGTATTCAGGAGTGCCAGAATTCCTCTCAATCTCTTTTCTGAATTTCAGCTGACTAGTAAAAACAGCTTCACTGCATTTACTAAATTGAAGTCAGCAAGCACAGCTGCCTGTCAGCAAGCAAACTCCCTCACTGGACTCTTCAATCCACCGCTCGACTCCATTTCTCCGGGCTTTCCAGCTCGCCACGCCTCGCCTCGTTTTTTCTCAATAGTTGTCAGAGCCTCGGGTCACTCACTAGTCGTCGTGAGGCATCTTCCACTCCCTTTCTTTCTCTCTCTCTGTCTCCCTGTCCTCCACCTTCTCAGGTCTTCAGCATCCCAGTTTTGCAAAGGCTGAGAAAACCGTGGACCGCGCAGCAGCTCGTGTACTCTGAGGTTGTTTGAGTAGCCGCATCTGAGTGAGGCAGGAAAACAAACGCAAGTCTTTTCTCTTCAAAAGTTCTCCTCCACTCAAACTCCGACCATGTCCGGCGAAGACGCACCTGCTCAGCAGCAAAACGCCGAGGAGCAGAAGCAGCAAGAGACCAAGACGCCCGCCGAGTCCCCAAAAACCGAGAGCAAACCTGACCCACCGCCCACCAGCGCGTCCACCGAGGCCGCCGCCACTGCTGCTGCCGCCGCCGACACCCCGGCGCCCGCCGCCGAGAAAGCCCCAGAGGAGGACACATTCACCTACCGGGCGCTGGTGCTCACCGGCTATGGCGGGTACGATAAGGTGAAGCTCCAGGTGAAGAAGGGGAAACCTGCTCTCAAGAGCGGCGAGGTGATGGTGCGCGTGAAAATGTGCGGGCTGAACTTCGCCGATCTGATGGCGAGACAGGGACTGTACGACCGGCTGCCGTCCCCGCCGGTTACCCCGGGCATGGAGTGCTCGGGCGTCATCGAGGCTGTCGGTGAAGAAGTGACTGACAGAAAAGTGAGTAAACGCTTTGTTATTTATTTATCCTGTGCATGCATGCATGCATTTTTTAAATTGCTCATCAGTCAAATGTGCTTTGAAAATGTTTATCCATTGGTTTATAATCTCTGCAAGAATGAGTAAATGAACTCCCAGTCAAACTCCTGTCACACTGTCTCTCCACCGGAGACAAAAGAGAAGCGGGAGGGGCGCCGATAGCCTCATTTCAGGAGCACCGGAGCTCTTGTCGCGCTGACCCGTGCAATGGGCCGGAACGTTAAACGTTCACGGGAGAGCGAGCTTTGCTTGTGTGCGCGGCGAGTTGACAGTAATACAACCTCGTGATACTTTATGCACAGAGCCAAGCAAGAACGCTGGAACTGATCTACGTCGCGTCCAACGCAAGCAGCGTCGTTAATTGTAAAGAAAGCGTTTAGTTTCGTCGCCTCAGCTGTATGTGGAACCACCGCCCCTCTTTCTCACAGAGGTTGACTGGCTTTGAAAAGTCGCACCTGAGACGCGCATCATCAGCATGCGTTATATTAGTCGACAAAATGTTCAAAAAAGTAATCTAATAAGGCTTTTATTTTGAATAAACCACTTTCTCTGATTGATCCCCGGTGTCTCGCGGGCGCGTGGAAGACTCTCCCCGCGCGCAGGAAAAAGGGCGAGGCGCGCGAGGGGGGAAAATGCTAATCGCACGCGCCCTTTGTCATCAGCCTCGCGCTTTTGTGACACTCTGACATCATTCATCATCCGTGCCATCTTTTTTTCTTCCTTTTGACCTCTTTAAACAATAATTAAACTTTTTCTTCCCGCTTGTATAAACGTCAACGCCTATTTCTGTAGGCATCGCGCCAGCGAAATACAATTTCTTAGTATTACCATATTTGATTTGGTTGGCCGGCGAACGAATAGTGTAAATAAACCCAGTTCTCCGGTTACTTTTCATTCAGCCCCGTCGGTTCATAGAAGTCTTTAGTATGACGTGGACTAATCGACTTTCTATGTGCTCCATATGAACAAATCGATGAGTCATGCCTAGTGGTTGCTGAGCCGGTCTCCATGGCAACGTATCACGGCAACGCCACATCTCTTGCGTTGAAAAGATTTGACATTTTGTTTGAAGCAGAATAAAGACATTTAACGAGAAGCAGTGGAGGTAAGATGTTCACAGAATTGTGTGAAATGCTGAGGAAAACCTAAATAGTCTGCGTTACTATATGAGAGAAAAGAAGAGTAAGCAAGCACTAGGCGTTGGCTGGTGGGTGATGCGGAGGAGGTAGATAATGGTTCAGCCCTTCCTCAGCCTCGTCTGTCAACGATATTGAATTTAAAAGGTCATCGTCCACCCTATTGCTCTCTCTTTATCCATCTCTCGCTCTCTATATTATCTTGTCAGCAAGCAAACAATTGCTTCTTCTCACATTCGGAGAGCTGACATTGTTTGTCGAGCATGTGAGGTGAGGAATCTGCTGATTGTGGTGTCCGGAAAAATGACTCTTTCTTATGGAGAAGACTGAGCGACTGTGCATTTTACACCATTAATGGACTTGAGCCAGTATACGTTTGGGTAATATGCATGCCACACTTAACCAAATACATAATATTTAAATCATTTACATCTAAGTTATTAGTCAGACTTAATGTCAGTGTTTTTAGGCAGAAGTGTAATGGGGCTATTTCAACCAAAGATGATCAAAGATAATATTAAATGGTGAATTTTGCAACAACAAAAAAGTAAAATATATGTAAAATAAATGGATGATCATATGTTATTGCACTTACTATATGTGAATATGTGTCTATTAAAATATATATCATATTTGACTTCACTTTTAGGCGATTTGGATACAACCCTAAAAGAAAAAGTGTCTTGATGACTTCAGTTTCAGTCTATTAGATCATCAATCCCCCTCACCCTACACACATCTACTTTTGACATATTTCAGATGGGGTTTAAGCATTATTTGGGGGGGGGCAGGGGGTGGAGGGTAGTTAAACCTTGGGCTAGTGTGTGAGTTATACATTTGTGTAATATGCGCTTAACCAAATTCATAATATTTAAATGTATGTAAATATTCATATTATTTAAATCATTTACATCTAAATATTAGTCAGACTTATTGTCAGTGTTTTTAGGCAGAAGTGTAATGGGGCTGTTTCAACAAAAGAGGATCAAAGACGACTAGAGATGCTCCGATTGATCGGCTAGAGATTGATATCGGCCGATAATCACATTTCATGACTCAGTCGGTAATCACTAATCTGGCCGATCACATGAACCGACCACAAGTGTTCATTTACAGATTTACAAGCAGAGGAAGATGCAATTTCTTATGTATCAAGGATGCACTCCAAACTTTTTCTTCATTGAGGCACATTGAATTATTCTTCCATCATTTGCAATGTTTCCAAATTGCATTGTTAGTCATTTTTCTTAACAATTTTTGTCTGTTTTATCTATACATATTACATGCTTACGAGATGTTTAAAGCATTATATGCAACGTCATTTATTGTCTTAGGAAAGAAGAGATCTCCACTCAAGTATCATACTTAGATGGAGAATGTGCTTTATGCACTGTTAAAGTTATATAAAGCTTGAAGCATCAGAATCAGTACTTTGCATCAGCCGATAGACATGACGAGGAATCGGTACTCGTATCTGCTTCAAAAATCCTGATCGCATCATCCCTAAAGACGAACTGTTTTTGATATAAAATGGTGAATTTTGCAAAAAAAAAAAAAAAATGCATAAAGTTTGCATCCTTTCACTAATAAATGGATGATTGTAAAACATCGCAGTTAGTATATGTGGACGTGTGTCTATTAAAATAAACACTATATTTGACTTGACCTTTAAGCTATATAGATACAAACCTAAAAGAAAAAGTGTCTTGATGAATTCAGTGTCAGCCTGTTAGATCATCAATCCACCTCCCCCTGCACACATCTACTTTTGACATCCTTCAGAGGGGGTTTAAGCATTAATTAGGGGGTCAAACTTTGAACTAGTGTGCGAATAATACATTAATGATCTTAACCAAATTCATAATATTTGAATTTATTTAAATATTCGTAATATTTAAATCATTTACATCTAATTTGTTAAACTTATTTTCAGTATTTTTAGGTAGAAGCTCAATGGGGCTATTTTAACAAAAGATGATCAAAGACGACCTGCGTTTGATAAAACAAAAGGTGAACTTTGCAATATATGTATAGTTTTAAAGTTTACATCCCTTCACCAATAAATGGATGGTCATAAAATATCTCACTTACTATTTGTGGATATACAGTGCTATATATAAGTACATCACTAACAAATCTCTCTTTTAAATTCATATTTTAACAGGAGGCCATACAATATTATATTTGTGCATACATTACATTAGTCAGTACTGACGCAGAATCTGGAGCTTTTCTAAAAAAATAACTCCCGATAACGGTCCAAAAACTAGTACAACATAATTTATATGTTAGAGAAAAATATTAAATACAAATAAATAAATAAAACCCCAGGAAAAATCAAGAGAACAAAAAAAAAGTTAAAATTTAGTTGAAATTTTGCAGGTTGTAAATCTTTTAAATTGAATTCTATTATCTCTCAACTTCTAAATATGTTTGGTGACTAATATATTATTTTAATAAATATATTGTTTAAATGCACCAAAATACATTGCCTATATTCACTGAGAAGTGGATACACATATTAATTTTCGAAATGGGCTGTACTCAATTATGCTGCGCACTGTAGGTGTCTATTAAAATACACACTATATTTGACTTCACTTTTAGGCTATATAAATACAAACCCAAAAGAATAAGTCTTTGATGAATTCAGTGTCAGTCTGTTAGATGATCAATGCCCCTCCCCCCACACATATTTACTTTTGACATCCTTGGGGTGTGGGGGGGTGAGCATTAATTAGGGGGAGGGTCAACCATCCTGTAATTCGCACCATGCTCTTGAGAGTCATATAGGTGGATGGTAAAAGCCATGCTATCTTTTCACATGGCTTGACAGATGTTACTTCTAAACTACTCTCCTGTGCCCACTCTCCACCTATATTAGCATTTTTGGTTATGAATTATTCATATAACTTGTTGCTTACACACACACACGCACACATACACACACACAATATTTATCAGAGTTCTGCTGCGAGAATCAGATGCATCTGTTCACAATTATCTTCCTCTGGACCACATTGTCAGCCTGGAATTTCCTCTCGCTCTCTCTCTCTCTCCCTCCCTCCCTGTGTGTGTGTGTGTGTGTGTGTGTGTGTGTGATTTGACAGGTCGATGATAAACAGCGATGCAGTTGAATATCAGTAAGTGAACTGTAGGGACACGGGCTGTTTTAGCTGAATCCGATAGTGTAACATTTGGGATCGGGAGAGAGTTTTAACCATGTGATTTTTCACACGGAAACCTGACGTCTTTTCGGGTGCTCAAATTTTAGAGCAGCTTTAACTGCGCTGTAAAAGAAGAGTTATGGTTTTATGACTTGTAAGCTGAGATTTGTTCAGTTAGTGGTACTATATGTGTGATCAACATAATAGAGCTGTGTCTTTGTTGGGAAATAATAAAAATAATTGACTAAACCAAAATTTCACAGTAGAACAAGAGCGGGATGCAGGATAGGGAGAGAATTTTGCATTTGTGGGATTTAAATAATATAAATAAGGAACAAATAACTATCTAGACCATGTGTAATGTAGAAATAATAATAGATAAGACTTGACATCTTAGGTCAGTGGTTCCCAAGTCCTGTCCTCTGCACATTTTATATGGCCATGTCCACATATTTTTGAACTTGAATAAATTAGTGTGACTTTTGAAAATGCTCTCCATTTTCAAGTAACAGTGGGAATGGTACAAATATAGCCTTTCGAAGACTCATTTTTGGTCATGTGACCAATTCGGAGGACATTGTACAGCAGTTGATTTGGATGCCGTCTATTTGGACTGCATTGTTAAAGAATAATTTTCTTCAAAGGACAGGGATGTTTA